CTACTGGGCCTCGTTACGGTTGTATTGGGGCATATTTTCGCACACAAGCTAACCCTTGCAGGTGTTGGGTTGTGCCGGCCTGGTGGCGTCGCCGCCGCCGCCGTCTGTCACAACTTTGGCCGGCTGGTGGTGCCGGGGTGGGGTGGCGGTTTTCTGGTCGAAGCAGGCGGCCTCTACAATAGTTGCGCCCATGCTATTTTGGCGTTCTGCTAGTTGTTATTCTTCTTTTGGTCGTTCGTGGCCTCTGTGTCGTTGTGCTGCTCCGCCTTGGTGGGGTCAGGCGGTGTCCCGGGCCGTCTCGGACTTGTCCGTGTGGCGGGGTTGGACCCCCACCCCTGTATTTTTTTTGGTGGGTGCCAGGCGCGCCATCTGGTTTTTGCCGTTGTGATTTGTGTTTTCTACATGTACTGGTGGTGGTTGCGCTTTTGTTTGCGGCACCATGCGTTGCGCTCTGGCTGTGGGCCTCTGCCTCCCATGGGGTGGGCTGACCCAGGTAAGGGGGGGTGGAAGGGGATATGTTGGATCGTACCTTCCTTATGAACATTGAGGGGGTTATGTCGCGTGGAAGGGGTTGGCGGGAATTGTGAGCACATGTGTTTTGGGTATGCTGTAAACGTTTCTCCCGTTATGCGTTCGTGAAAACATTGTTCTTTGGTATTGTTTGTTCTTGTGCTTGATTGCGTGGACATTGTTCACGGCGTCTAGGTGAGTCTCTTGTCAGGTCTTGTGCCCCAGGGTCGTGTGTTCATTCCGAATAATGTTGATGATGTACATCTTTCTTTTCCTCTCGCGAGTGTGTTTTCACATCCCATGCAATGGTGATTGTTCCCAATCCCCGGCATTATGAAAGTGATGTGCGATTTCGGTTGGTGCCGTCCGACGTTACCCTGCGGTTGCTCACCTGATGATGTCCGTGATCTCGTGGTGTTTGGAGGTTCTATTTCCGACTGGGTCGCTCGTGTATTTTTGATATGCGCCACGGATCCAATACACAGAAAGAGGAGCGGAAGACAGGCGTGTGTAATGAACGTGTGCGCACAGTAGACACTCACCGTTGTGATATGCTCATGAGCTGATGGGGGATGGTGTCAACCGTTCGTGCAGTTCTTTGCAGTTGGGGGTACCGATGTTGGGTGCACCCGTGATGCAACTGCAGGGTATTTGACGTGTGGATGTTGTGATGGTTGATGGGTCGCTGTGTTGTATTTGACGTTCATGCGGGAGTGCTCCTTGAGTACTGTTTCGTGAGATGGGGTCCTGTGTTTGCTGGTATCTCCTCAGTGGTCTTGTAACGGTTTTTGGGAGGATGCCGACCATTCGAGCAATGAAGTTGCACTATCGGTAAAAGATAGTCGGAGGGCACGTTGTATATTATTGCCGAGTGGGATAACTGGGATCTACAGGTAAATTCCCATGGTGCTGTTTTTTTTTTTGTTTTTGTGGTTTTTTTTTATTCGTAATTGGGGGTGTTGTTTTGGCATCCGGAAGGAACCCGGGGTGTATTTGTTTTTTTGTCAATTGTTAAGATTGATTGCCTGCGTCGCGTTGCTTTGTTTTGTGTGAGTGGTTTGTTTGACGTTGTCTTGTGTACTCCCTTTATATTTCCCTCTGCGTTGCTGTTGTTTCTCAGTGTGTTAAATGTGCGTCTCTTTTCTCCTCCTTTTTTCCCTTGTTACCACAGATCCAAGCAACTCAGAGTGATAATCATGACAACGATGTTCGTCCAACTGCGTCGCGTGGTGTACTTGTTGGTACTTCTGCAGTGCTGTGTGTGTGCGGGGAATGCAAGTGGTGATGCTGAGCAGCATTCTTCAACCAAGAAGTCAACTGAAGATGTTGAACAGTTAAACAACATGGTAGCCAAGGCGTTTCAGTTCGTTGCGCGTACGAATGGTTGTCTGTCTTTGTATAGGGAGGACATGGAATTATACAAGAATATTTCCAGCCGTGCTGAAGCTATTGAGAGCAATATCAGTACAATTATTAAAAAGATCGAGGAATTAAAAGGAGAGAAGAAAGAAAAAGAATGGATAACGAAAAATGAGAAAACAATAATAGAAAACGTAAGGGATTTTGACGATCTGATATTGTCAATAGCAAACACAAATCTATTGTTTGGATATTGTAAGAATGCACGGCGGGACGTGGGATTTGATATGGATGGATTTGTCAAAGCTCGAAAGAGTTTCTTGGAAGCACATCCTGACGGAACGCACGAAGGACCGGAAATAGAAGAACTCAAAAAGAGTAGCAGTAAAGCAGAGATGACATTAACTAACCTCACAAAACGAATCGAATCCTTGGGTAATGAACTCAAACCACTTGATGATGTCCAAAAACACACGGATGACGCGAGGAAAGCAGTAGTAGAACTCATGAAGGCCATGGGGGATGTCCCTGAGGTCAAAATTGTTCCAAAAGGCATTGATACTGATGAATTAAAAAAAATGGCGGAAGACGGAAAGGAGGAAGTTACCAAAAGACTGGAGGATGCAGAAGCAAAAGAAAAAAGGCTTCTGGAAGAGGAGGGGCTAGTTGAAAGGGTGGAAGGGAGTGAGACTGAAGAGGGACCATCAAAGGAAACAGAAGAGGGAAAACAGGATCGCGAGAAGGAGCAGAAGCCACACGAGGAAGAAGAAGAAGCAAAAGGGGATGAAGAGAAGGCGCCGGAGACAGAAAAAGTACCGGAGGAGAAAGGTGCCACACAAGAAGAGGAAGAGAAAGAGGGTAATAAAGAAGTGATAGCGGAAAAAGAAAAGGAAGGAGAGGACAAGCAAAACAAGGAAGAAGCACAAAAGCCTGAAATAGGAGTACTGCCAGCAGTAGCAGTACAAGGTACTGACAGCAGCAACAGTCCTGCATTGGTGCACAGTCCCTTTTTGTTGCTTCTTCTGTGTGTGTTGGGCTGCACTCTCGTGTGCTGATCGGTGTTCCCATGACACAGTTGCACAGTTAACCTTTGTTTGACTGGACATGGATGCATTGTAAGGGCACTGTTCTTTTTGGTTGAATATCAGCGTTTTTTCAGCTCGATAAATCTCTTGTTTGCATCATTGTGCTGAACACATCTATTGGACTCCCTATGGCACTCATCACATGACAAACCATCATTTTGTGAGGGGAGTGTCCTCTTTGTTTGTTCGCATTTTTATCTGGGCTCTGTTGTGCCGCCATTCACTGTGTCCTCCTGGTGATGTGTGTGTGTGTTCCGTGATATTACTAACTATTGCTTTTACCCATGGGAGTGGGATACAATCCCAATGTGTTGTAATTGCTGTGACTGAAATGTAAAGAATGGCAGCAGGTTCAAGACACACAAACACGTACACTACCAATCCTCCTTCTCTCTGTGTGTGTGGACTGTCATTATGTGTGCATCATTCCCACTGCTCGCCCTGTACGAAAGACACACACACACCTACTGCAGGGAATTGTGTTCTTGCCTCCCTGAACATATTCACATGGTGATCACGGCCTTTTTTCTTTTCTTGTTTGCATTATATTGTTTTTCCCTTCTATGGTGTGCTTCTCAGTCAAGCCAATAGGCGTGGTGCTTTGTGGTTTCCCTCACCGTGCAGCAGTGCAGGCACGCAGTCCACTGCAGACCAATTGTTTTGTACACTCTTCCCATCTTTCTTGTCTCTGCTTTTGCAGTGGACTTATTTTGATCCCTATATACTGCTTTGTTTTTCCTTTTTTGTTTCTGATACACCTTGTGTATCTTGTGTGCTCATTTTTATGGAATGTTTTTTGTTATATACGATAATAATGGGACAGTGAAAAAAAAAAATAATATATGGTTACTTCACATTCATTATACAAAAGTTTCCCGTTGGGTATAATACGATATATTGCTGTATCCAGGCATCGCAGCCGCAGTAAGTAATGAATTTCTTTTTTTCTTTTACTTGTGCTTCACCTCTTCTTTTCCCTTTATCAGCCACCTTGTCTACACTTTTATTATGGTATAAAGATCGTTGGGTTGTAGGTGTTTGAGTATTTTTCTGTGTGTGTGTTTAGGTTGCTACTCGCACCGTCCACGTAATGAAAACACATTTCTTTGTTCTCACCTTCTCTCTCGGTGGTGTCACTCACGGCATTGCCACGAACATATTTCCGCCCTTGTGTTGTGTTGTGTGTGTGGCTTGCCTGAGTGACTGCAGCCTGCGGGGAGGGACTGAGACTGTTCCGCTTCGGCTTCACGTAATGGGTCTGTTTCTTTTTTTTCTTTTTTGGTGTGGGTGAATGTTTTTCTCTGATGAGAGTGGCAGCTGTGATTATTGTATTGTGACTGCCTTGTGTGCTGTTGGTATCCTGTTGTTGTTGTTCTTTTCTTGTTTTTCTTTTCCTCTCTGTAGGTGTGTGACTTAGTGTACATTTTAGTGAATGCCGTAGTGCCTCTCTGATATGAGCATGTGAGACTGTCATTGTGTGTGTGCACTGTG